TAATTAGGGGTATGGTTCGGCCGAGGGTTGGGTTGGCTCAGGTGAGCTACTGGGACATACAGCACTCCAGTTGAGGCTCTCGCTTAGGTGGCACTCAGTTGAATGCGCCTTGATTGGACTTTGTTGAGGCGCTTAAGCCTTGCCTTGCTTTGCTTTAGTGCCTAAGCACATGGCCTAGCACCTTTTGACAACACTGGCTTATTCATTAGTCAAAGGGTTCAACTCCTTGATTATTGCAAAATATGTTATAAGTAAATTCATTGAATCTCCATTGGGAATTTTAGTTGACAAATATCAAATATGTTATAAGCTTTGATAAGGACCATTTATCTTGATTTCCTTTTTCAGATCCTCAAGGTTCCGTATTTGTATTGTTTTGTGGTGTGTTCATTTAGGTGTACGTAGATACAGAATATTCTTGTTCCTTGTAGATAATGTCTAACCATTTTTTAGTGGATACAATTAGATGAACAAGCTTCCTACGCTTTTAACTTATGAGTCGGAATATACTTATTGAGCTTAATGAAAGGAACTCATGATATAGTGTTCTTATATTTGGTGAATGATTGCTCTGACAAATTACACGAAGTTTCAATCCTTCTCTGTAATGTCATTCCTAGTTCTGATGACTTTAAAGTTGCACATTATTTTGTTCATCTAGCATTATTTTGAGATATAAAATCTTCCATGGCATTGTTACTCATCTTTATAGAGGCTGGTTAGTGTACTGTTACCTGTTTGAAATATTTCTTCAGTATGTTATTAGTATATACCTGCATATATCAATATATAAGGTATTTGCTGGAAAACAATATCTTGGTTGAGCATATCCAGTACTTTGACACAATTTTCTTCAAAATCTACACCTATAAATTGAAAAGAGCAAATAGGCGTGAACCACACTTGACACACCTTCTATTAACGACACTTTTATGTGAATGTCCTACATGATGCATCTAAAATATGAGGTTTTTTTTCTTAAAATGAGACAGTTTTATCTAGGATGCTTAAGATCATGATATGTTGACTTTCAAAATTGATTTGCTAATAATTTGAAGGATTTTAATTTTAGAATAAATATGCAGAGTTATTAGAATATATATACTCAAGATGAATAAGAAATATTTTGTCATGATCAGAAAGAGGAAAAGAAAGAAACATACAGAAATTGTGGTTAAAATTCCGTGATTAAGTGTTTTGTATTAAAATGGAAGGACAATGACTTAAATTTGTGTTATGTGCTTGGACACACCTTGGCTTCTCCATGCTGGATATTCTTGTGCTTCAAATCAGACCAGTTGGTTGACCAAGCTGACAGTGAGGTTTGCCTTGCTTAATAGTGGATAGTTGCTTCACAAAACGAGGTTGTCCCCGTAATCATATCAGAGGACTTGCTTGTGCTGAATGCTTTAGTGCTGAAAGGCTTCATTGGAGAGTGCTATGGTTGATTCCAAAGACTTTCTTGGCTGATCCATTGTGGATGGATGTCGGTAGAAGTTTGGGCGTTATAAGAATGCAGATGTAGCAGTCAATGACAAGCAGATAATCAACTATACCAAGATTATAATTGTTCCCAAGAGTTACGGAGTCCTATTCCTATTGATTACAGGATGATTTAGTCGTACTAAGGTTTAATGACTATTCTACTTGTACAGCTCACTATAGTTCTAGTGTTAATACCAATGCTAATGCTACCATGGTTTCTTAGTTTATTGGGTGTTGATGTTGCTAAAAAATCCTTGTGTTATGGCTTTCTTGCTATTTGCGATGCACTGGCATAACTATTGAACCTTTGTGTGAAGATATCACTCCCTATGCCCCATCAGTTGGTTATCCACCAATAACAGTTGATTTTCAAAATTTTGCTAACCTCAATCTACTATTGCATTCCAAGCTATAAAATTATGCACGATTAAAATGAAAGCTTTATTTATGTATGAATTCCCTGATTGGCCACTGCTGAGCCAGATCTAATGTAGAGTGGCCTGTGTGAACCTAATTTTAGCTGATTTCTCTGCCTTTTTGCTGGATCACTGGTGTTTTCATCAACTTCCCAACTACATTGCTTCCATAGTCTGCATGATATCTGTTTACTAATTATTAACTTTCTTCTTGTTCTCATTTGATGTGTTTTGTTTTAGCATAATCAATCAATCAATCAAATTTGTCTGTGTTAAGTGTGAACCATCTTGAAGAATGAATTACGAGTTAAATTACATATCTAAGCAAGAAGCATGAAGAAGTTCTCAATCATGTAACTACGAGAGTTTAAATTACTCAAATATTAGTTACCATCTAGAACTTTGCTCTACTTTCTTGTCATGACAAACTAAAATTACTCTGGCCAGAGATGTGCCTGCTTTGTCCAGTAATACCATCTCTAATGTTCCTGCAGCTTCAAGATGAAGTTCTTGTTTCAGATGCTGAGCGGCTGAGGATGACCCAAGCTAATGTCAAGCTGGTTTGTCTCTCTTAGCAATTCTGCTACAAGCAGTACAATCTAACTTGTTCATCTAATACATTACCTTATTTCAGCTTCAAAGACATTTTCAAGTAGACACTCTCCAGTGGACCCAAAGATTGAAACAGAAAGAACAAGTGCTTCTAAGGCGTCTACTGAGGGTAGGAAATGCTACTCTAGTAGTTAGTGTTAAAATCTAGAAGTGTTTATCGGTATTAGTAAATGTCATTATAATTCTGACCGTACTCTCTAACATGATGTGTCAAAAAGATAATGAGGATAGTGGAAGCTCTGGAGAGCAAGGGTTACAGGATGCCTCTGATGAAAGGTGAAGCTGAACTGACTGAAAAGTTGGCTGCAATAGCAAAACAGGTTGGTCTTCTATTTTGGATCCCATCTCCGGTCTCATTTTGTATAATCTCGTTGAGTTAGTGCTTTTATGTGACACACTTCAGCTGAAGGGACCTGGAGCAGAGTTATCAAGGAGGGTGCACAATCTGGTTTCAATATCTCGTGCGCGTGCTAACACTGGTGAGCTCAATGGTTCAATCTACATTCCGGGGTCAGCAAAGATAAGAGAGCAAAGCCTTGCTGACTTGCAGGAGGTAAGGAAAGCCTGGCGTGTAGGCTGCATGTAGTCATCGTCTTCCCGCTTCCCTTTTCTCATAATTTGTACATGTTCTGTCGTTAGGTCCTGCAACAGGAAACCGAAGCAATTGCCAGATTGGGGAATGTCTTGAAGCGGGATATGAGGGACTTGGAGATTATCATGTCTGAGGGCACAGACACCTTAGAAGACGACAGAGGACGGAGTCTGATGAGCTGATATCTTCTAACCTTTGCACGCAAGGAAATGGGATATCAAAGGAAGTCAGACTGTATAGGAATGAAAAAGGATGAAAACTAGTGCTGATTCAGCATGTAGTAGTTGTTGTCTTTGGCATCAAAATTCTCACTGGGACTGCCAAAATGTGGCAATTTTTAGGTAGTGGCAACTCTTGGGTGAAGTATGCTTATGTTGGGATCTATTATTTGACAGGATTCAGTCACGAATTTTCTGCCTCAGGCTTTTATCAACAGAGGAAAATTTACTCTTCATTCAGAAGTGGTGCATATGCAAATGCCAATTGGCCTCCTGAGCTCATCAGACAGTTGGCCTGTTAAATTTTCTTGGAAAATATAGACTATTACTTGCTTCCATGCTAATATATAGATTGCAAGCTTCATACTATGGTAATATTGCTGCTTTATAATTTGTGATTGTGCTCAAGGGGAAGACCACATTGACTTTGATACATTTATGATTTTGATAGCATAATACTAATCAATGTTACTTTATTGCATTTGTTTTCTTTTGTAAATGATTGAAACTTTAGGTCAAAATCTAAATTAGCTAATATTTTTCATTGATAATACTTATTTATTTTCATAGATGTTTCTTACTTCCTAAAAGATGAAATTGCCCTGTTAGTCATTGTCTTCGTCTCATGCCATCGCTCGTCACATACTGCCTCTATTATTGTGCTGTTGGTCATTGTCTTCGTCTCATGCCATTGCTTGTCACATACTGCCTCTATTATTGTGCTTTTATCCGTCGCCTCAACACTCGTCTTGTCTATTGTCTTCGTCCCTCTAATGTTGCTTTCACAGGTGATCGACGATGGTTTGGGCCTATGTGAGCTAGTCCTAAAGTCATCACATCCCTAACCTCCACTCTCAAACGCCTAACCCCCCCTCCCCCCCCCTCCCCCTCTCCTTTTGCCTACTCTTTTCGAGACTCATCTGTGAAACCCCTCTTTCCTCCTGATGACAACAATGGATGAGGGGTGAAAGTGACAAAGTGACACCATGACAAACGAGAGCACCGATAGTGGTGACGAATCCTTTTGTGATTACTTCTGGCTCAATCGGGAACCAATGGTATTGAGATCTACCACAAGATGAACGAAAGCAAAGGTGACAGTCTGAGAGACAAAGGAGATGATATTATAAAGCAAAGGCAACGATTCACGAGACGAAAGCCAAAAATAATTTCATCTTTTAGGAAATAAAAAATACTTCGTGAGAATAAATAAAAAATAAAACACTGATCGAAAAAAAAAATAGTTTTAAGAGAATTTATCCTTAAAAAACGCAAGTAGAAAACAAAGTAGTAGTCAATCGTAAACTCAAGAACAGATGTGGTACTTGGAAGAAAAGTTAACTACGCTTGCACTAAATAACAAAACTCTTTAAGAGTTTGGACAGAATCGAGACAAACCAGCAAAATGCTGACTTTTGATTATCGAAATAATAATTTGTCTAAACAAATCAAACTGAACAAAATTGATATGACGCACAGCATCTCAAAAAGAAAAAAAAAACTCTCATTAGAAACAAATGGTCAACAAATATTATAAAACTGAAGATATATATGGAAAACAAACTCAAACAATTCCCATATAACCACCATTTACATATCCCACAGGAAAAAAAAAAAAAAAAAGTGGTTCACCATAAGAGTTCATCCATGCCAAAAAGAACAAATAACAAGTTCTTGTTTTTCTCAACGGTAAGACTTTTGATCTTTTTTGAACAATGAGATGGAAGTCATAAATAATTTAAAACTGCATTTTGCAATCAATTAGAAAAAAATAAAGATGGTTCTTCTGTTCTACAAAATTCTAGTCAACAACGGGGGATGCATTATAGAAGATGCATCAACCAACCCATGTTGCATGGAACCTACTACACAGCATTCATCCGTTTTACTTCAGACGCTTGAACTTACCAGGCTCTATTTGCCCGTCTGGCAAAGGAAATTTCATCAAGCTACATAATTTAGCTACAGCTTCTTGCAACTGATCAACGTCAATGCACATGTCCCTAGGGGAAGCAAAAAGAACCTCATTGACATCTTCTTCGAGCTCAAGTGAAAATAGTTGGCTGAAGGCCTGCATATACCAATTAGTCATTGACGTCTTCTTAACATACAGCTAACAGTCATGACGGGAATATACAACTAGACATAAACAACTCTATGATTATCAATTGTGCAGTTTGAATCTTACCGCCTTCAATCGTAAAACAACCTTCTCCCTAATTGCTGGAGATCGCGACACCAAATTTATGACAAACAGACCTTCTGAGAGAAAATTCTTCACTTGTAAAAGAAAGGATTCTTCAACAAAATCTGAAGGAGGGCAGGATAACCCAGAGCTACAAGCAGTGAAACACAAAGTTGTCTTCATATATCAAAATTTTCAATCTTAAATATCAATCTGAAAGTGGACATAGGTAATCATAAGTTCCACCTCAAATCAGATGAATCTGCATCAACAATGAGAATTTTAATTCCACTGCTGTTTCCATTCGCAAGAGACTCTGTACATGTTCCATCAGTTTCTTGTTCGTGTGACTTGATGACATTTGCATCTTCAATAAACCGGATACCATCACCAATATGGACCTAATAAAAAAAGACAAAAACAAGTAATTTAAGATACACAATTTGTACATCAGTAAAAAGTCTAGATGTCAAGCTAGAAAAATGTATATTCAGAAAAATCATGTGGTCTGAATAATCAAATTTGGTATTGAAAAACAAACGTGCCAACATTAACAGATTCTAGTGATCCTGAAAGCATCCAGTGTTCAGGCTAATCTCCTTGGTGAAGTATTGCATAAAGCTTCACTATAGCAGGGCCAACAAAGTGGGATTTGAGGTGAGGCAGCTAATGACAGTCAAATAGACTACCATATATGAAAGAATGATGCATGGGTTCACTGTAAAATTTGGTAACAGAGATATTATGAAATGTGCATGCAAAGACAATCAAATAAATGATAAATCAATTTGCAAATACTATCATTGCATTCACATCTAAATGTACTATGGTTTTGAATCAACTTTGACATCAATTAATCAAGTAAGAAATCAAGAAAATCATTCAAATAACTAGAATATTGAACATGCAATAAATGTAAATAAATAGAAATTATTAATTAAAAAAAAGAAGATAAAGAGGGATTGTCTAGAAAATCTCAATCCTAAATACAGTGAGACCGACACCTGCCAGTGCTTTGCTCTCATACGCTTGAAAGGGTTTCATGGTGTAAAAATCTTTCAGAAGTAGTAAACTCTTCCTCTCTTTTTTTCATGAAATCCTATATGAAAAGATATCAAAGTCAGATCGTTCTTCACTCAAACTAGGCTAGTGTGAGGCCTTGTTATAACCTACACTGCATCACAAGGTCCACATGTCCCTGTGTTAGGCTATTCGTGGAGCCACCAAAGGAGAGTCATGCATTCCATATCATGATCTGGCTTGATGGGATAACTAATTCATTAACCTGATAGCTTTAATTAATAACCCAAAATGTTTAAACCCTTATAAACTAGTCCAAATCTCCCATTTCTGATCATCACTAAACTATGGGTATTACAGTATTCCCTACTTGGGAGCTTGACATCCTCATTACGACTAAAATATAGCTTAGAATCAAATCCGATTAATCAGCCCAGCAGTGTTTCTAGCCGAATCCATAAGTAATCCTTTTCTATTCAAGCCCTTCACCATACTCAATCCTGTGTTCACTCTAATACCATTTATCATGTCCTGACGAGGGATGGTTGATCCATTAACTTAGTAGTCTAAACTACTAGTTCAAATGCTTAAGCCTGACTCATTTGACAATAGACAAATCAATTCAAATCTCTTTCCACTTCTGATGTGGGACTAACCTGGGAATGTTACACTATAAGGCATATTTAAAAGGACAATTGCAGTGTATAGTATTTTAGCCAACATAGCAGTCATGCATCCCATCATTTAGGGATAATAACAGTCTATGTATAGTCTCCAAGTGATACATCAAAGATATAGAGAGGAAAAAAAGAAAACGTTAAGATTCCCATGTCAAGTTTTGGTTGATATAAAATTTGTTTTTAAACCACTTATCAAAAATTTACTTTTTGAAAGTCAGAAATGACCGAGTTCATCTTATATCACTTTGTATCATAACAATCATGACTACAACAACAAAGGACAGATGTTCAAAGCAATTAACTGAGTTAGATTATAGAACATGGTCTCCTTTTGGTCCAGCTAATTTACATGTTGTATATTGGACCCTTTTATAATTCCTTGAATCAAATACTCTGCCAAATTGGCTAATCAAATTAAAAAACAATGTATTTGAATTGGGATCATTGAGCCCCTATCCTATTGGGTGATCTCTTGGCCTATCAATTTATACCGGCCAGATTCTGCTACTGGTGAACAGAACTATAAAGATGAAGAAAAAAAAAAATAGAGAAGACGAAAAGAGGAAGAAGAATACGGAACTAGTTTCTCAATTTCTTACCCTTTTAAGATAATCCATAACACATCTATATAATTTCCATACAGTTTTGATATTTAATCAACATTTTATTTGAAATAATCTGAACCATATTCAAGTACTTGAATATACCATAAATTGAACAAAAAGATATTCAATTTTCTTAATTATATCATTCCTATATTAGTTTTGAAGTTTTCTTTCTAATTTTCACTTTTTTTCTTTATTCTGGAGTTTTTGATTTTTGGACAAAACATCAATTCAAAGATATGACATTAAAGTTCTTGAATTTTGTACCTTGAATAGAGAAGAATTTACCATTAAGAGAATAAGAATGGCCAAAAAGAGGATATTAACGGACTATATCAAACCACTATCGATCCCACACAGGGCTCACACTTGACCCCAAAGACAGTCAACTGCTTTCTATATCAGTCAAATACTAACACAAAAGTCAATATACGTTGTATTTCCCTCTCTAATTGTGAAGAAGACAATCATGAACTTCCCTGTACAGGGAAAAAACACCATTTAATTCTCAAAGAGATGTTTGGATGGAATCTTTGGAAGATTCCTGCTATACCTAGGGTTCATGTTTTTTGTAGGAAGCTGCTTCATAGGTGGGCTTCTTTCCACTATGAGACTGACTAAGCTTAATATCTGTTCAGTTCGGTGCATAAATGTTATTTTTTTGGGGGTGATTCTGATGAGCAGGATCACATGTTTTTTGAATGTCTGTTTGCCTCCAAATGATGGGAGGGGCTGGAGAGGAAGTTAAACATCAGATTTCAATTTTTTGCAAATTGGTGATTGGATTAAGGGGACCTAGCTAACCCAAAGCCGAAAGATGGTCACAATCAGTCAGATTGACTTGGAATCAACTGACCACACGGATCCGAGAAAGAGGAAAAGAAAATATCAAGGATTTGAGAATCAAACTCGGGGATTCCAGTGAACCATGTTGATGAGTGCATTGCTTGAATATGCTGCAATGACATTCACCAACTAACAGTTCAGGAGGGGTGTCACAACTTTTTATGACATGACCATATGCAATTAGGCACACAGATGGATCAAGCCAAAATTTAACAGCTGCATGCCTGATAAGGTAGTCATCTGGATTAACTTCATCAACATGAGTGAAAAATACTGGTGCATCTGGCCACCCATTGCCGTAAATTTTAACACATAGCATAGAAAAAGAATTTGACACTGATCAGTCAAACACATCATAAATCAAGAAGCTAATCAAGAACCATAAAAACGAAGGACAAATATGAACGTTCATTAAATTACAAAGACTAAAGCCAGCTCATCATTCCAGTACTATTAATCATAATCTACACAAACAAATAGTTATGCACATTTAAAAATAATCACTTTTGCAATAGTCGTGTGTATAAAATGAACAGCAAATGCAAAAGATTGATGGGATCAATTTAACATATAAATATAAACATAAAAGAGAGATATAAAACAACCTTCATTCGGTCATCCTCAACAAAGCTGAAATATTGCCTCGCCAAATCCAACATAACAGGATCCAACTCCACCACCTTCATCAATGGGAAAACAATAAGCAACCATGAATTCTTTCTCTCAATAGCCCATTGCTCATGAAGTTCCTACCTCAAGTTGAAGAAAAGGAAGGCAAGCATGAAGAAACATAGGAAGAAGCCCAGCTCCAAGCCCAACTATGTATGTACTAATCTGCACATAAATCAGTTTCACACTTGGAATAAAAAAGTTATTCTTTTCTATTGCTACAGAAACAAGAACATAGAACATTCCCGATGACATCATAAGTTGGTAATAAACTATTATGTAATATCATAAAGGATCAGTTTATTCCCAAATGTCATTTGTTCTCATCGTCTTACATGTCAAATGTCAAACAGTGTATTACCTTTTTCCCAGATGACACAGCAAGCTCCAAAGCAGAAATTATAAGAGCCAAGCCAGAAACAATTCCACTGTGGTAAAGACTAGCCAGACAACTATGGTCAACCTTGGTAACTTTTGACCCTAGATTTAAAAAAAAAAGATGTATTTTAAAGATTGTACTTAAATTAAAAGTGCATTTCAAAAAAGGGAGTCATATTTTTCTTAATAATTAAGATGCAACAGACGAAGATTTGGGGACAAAATATGTACTCTCATGCAAATAATTCCATCAGGCTGATCACTGTGTATCATTCAGGCATCATTTTTCAGAGATAAATTATCTTCTCAAGCTAACATAACCTTCAAATCTTTGCACATGTTAAGAAAGTAAACAACATACTTAATTACCATCAATCAATTTGTATGAATCACTTCTTTTTTGACCTCTCTTTGTCCTAGTTCTTGAAGATGGAACATTTCTCTTCCTATCTGTGTCAGCCTCTTTGCTATGTGCTTCTTGTGAGAGCAATGCTTCTGATTGCACCATGCTCGAACTTCTCCCAAATGTGAGCCTACGAAACAACTTCAGTTCTGATGGATCCCCATCAGCATTATCATAGATCACATCTTCAACAATTATATGCCCAGTAATGGCAGATGTAGCCTAGTGACAATAAGCAACATAAATGAGGAAAGACAGTATGATAAGATAATATGCTAGAAGAAGTGATAAATAGTTAATATGCACTATAAATGTAATTGTAGAGGAGCATCCATCTCCTCAAAATAAAAAAAGCATCATCCAGAGAAAGAAATTAGAATTTAGTAATAAACCAAAGTATACGAAGACAACACACATGAAATATCATATCCGCAAGGATCTGATGAGGGGCAAATCCACAGAGAATGTCAGATGTACATATAACATATAATAACTGTGCTTTAGTCCACCAACAGTGTCTATGAAGTTCTTGCAATTTCATTTATGTGTCCGCGAATTTCATTTAGATGTACATATAACATATAAGTGCCTGTTGCTTTGGTTATGATAAAAGTGAAGGCATTAATAGGACCTACATGTCAACACAAATTGCATTTGTGAAACGTCAATTGAACAAATAGTTGAAGAGTAACTAATGAAATTGAGACAAACATAAAGATAAACACTCGTATAACTTTGAGAACTGATAGGTATGGTAAAAAAAAATCAAGCCATGCTACTGACTTCCACCTCAAAGGTAGTTTCATTTAACAATTTCTTGTTTTAGAGAGGATCACAATAAAAAATTATTGCATTTTTCTTCTTCATGCTTCCTAATTCTTTTCAGTAAAATTTCTCAGAAACATGAAAAGTTTCAAGCTAAGGATACGAGGTCTCAGTGAATGAAACCCATGTGAACAATCAACATTCGTTCACAAATTTGATATCAAAGAGTGTGCAACTGCAACATATATTTCAAGATGGTTATTAAATAGAGGAATAATAAGAAAAGAAAAGTCATAGCTGTTCTTATTTTTGTGGCATTGGTTTCTTACAGTAGACAGCCACAACAAACATAATGCATGAAATTAACATGAAACAAAACAAAGTAATTTAGACATGAAGCCAAAATTTCAACTCCTAACCTCATGGACAATATTTCTCTGCTTGATGCCATCACCTGCCATCATGAACCTGATATTTTGGAACCAAATCCAAACAGTCATAACTTGCAAGTATTCCAAAAAATAAATAGAACAAAATTATATGCTAAGGAAAAAAATAAACAAAAGTATGCTTCAAATGCATGAGTAATCTGGTTATCATTTTTTTTCATGCTGCAAATAAATGAATGACCAAATATATAGTAAACTAGAACAGGCTAGTAACAAAGGCCACAATTCAACTCAAACAACAAAGGCCACAAAGGCATGCAGGCATAGAAGAGACTAAACAAACATGTGTTCCACAGCATGACAGCAATAAGCATCGGAAGGCAATTTAGTAAACACTATGAGGCCTACTATGCTCTCGTGATGGTAATATCATTAGTCAAATTATGGGCCATTAATTCTCTCTTTATTGGTAAGGATGATTGATAAAGACTTTTTAGGTCCTTACCTCTCCTCACACCACTTATCCTAATTGACTTGCATCATCTAATGGGTGGATCTATATGTTTCCATTGAACATGTTCCTACCACCAAAGAAAGCTCTTCCCCATTGTATTCTCAAATTGTAGTTACCTCAACCTTTCACCAGTATAAATATTTATAATATTTTAATATTATGTCTTTTCTAATATCCCCATAAATTCATCTCAATTTTATTACAGTGAACTAGCTTTTGCACACATTTCCTAAATGCCCAACATTCTTATATATAAAGCCTAGCAAGTCAGGAACAATCTTATACATTTCTTTTGATCCAAGAGGTACAAGGTAATCATCCAATACTTGTAACACCACCTCTCCACCAACCGTCCTGATTTAACTTTATAAACAATATCTTCATTGAATAAAGTAATATTACATGTACTGCTTACAACTGTCAAGTTATTCATTTTCTCTTCAAAAGCAATGAATCAGCTGTTGCTTTTACTAAATGATAATCTGATCAGTTCAATCCCTACATGACTCACAGATAAAGGTACGAGTGATTAGAAACTGAAGATCAATCATATGCATGCATATCCTTTAAAAATAATATATGATTTTTTCTATCAATACTTTATTTCAATTAAATTAATTAAGCACTAGAGATATAAGATCACATTATGTTCACTTGAAACCTACTGAGGAAGATCCACACAAGGCATTTGGAAGCACAGTGAGAAAAGGATGTTACAGCCTGTCTAAATGCAGCCCAAGGGAAGATCCACACACAGGATATGGAAGCACACCAAGGGAAGGATTTTGCAACCAGCTCATGATCTATTGGTTCTTTCATAAGAGATTATTTTCTATTGTTTTCGTGATGAAATTTCATAAAATAATATCACAAAACTACATTAGTTGAATAATATATACCTTGGCATTAATCATAGGGAGAAAAAAGATGTTTACCTGGTGTGACCTCTGCAGACAATCTCATAGTTGACTATAAAATACCAACAACCAATCTCACAAAAAAAAATTGAAGAATAAAGCTTTGATACACTCAACTCAATCAGTTACAGAAAAATTATATAGCTTAGACAAATTTAGTGCTTTTAATGTTTGAGTACCATCATTACATTGTAATAGTGGATAATTCACGAGAGTAAAATGTAATTATGCAGCACAAGGAGTTCCTTTTTGCTAGGTAGGAACTAGGGTTGTTAAATGGCCGAACATTGATCTACAAAGCATGCAAGCATTTCAGATGAAGATTATTAACAAAGAGAAAACATCATGGTGAGATTCTTGAAAGAAATTGATAGAGAAATGGCAAATTCCCCAAAAAAACCCAAGTTTTCACTTTTTCCTGCAGCACATCCCCTTTTTGGTTTATTCCTGTATGACGCCCTTTATTTTCTAAGAGACAAGATTACCCCTAGCTTCATGCCAGCCGCCACCTCCGCCCTGTCAACCCCATCGTCAACCTCGGTAAAGGAGAAGGAGACGGCAGTGGCAGAGTTAGCTTCCACTCCCTCCCTTGCATGGCCCACCGTGCCTCCTTCCCAAGCTAGTTTGCTCACATGATCGAGTGGAGACAAGGGGCGAAAGCAATGGGCAGGGCGCACTCCTTCAGCGTAGTGGTCCGAAATCCTCAAGGCAAAGGGGGCCGAGTACGCCCTGCTCAAAGATGGCACAATGGAAGGCGAACAAGGGCGGTGGGGCAAAAGCAACCACGCGAAGGTAGCGGGTCCTCGTGATAGGATGGAAGTAGTGACGAGGGACGGAGACAGTGAGGGATGAAGATGGCGGGACAAAAGTTAGGGGTAATCTCATCTTTTAGAAAATAAGAGGCACTCTGTGGAAATAAACCAAAAAGGGGTGCTTTATTGGAAAAAAAAACGAATAGTTGAGGCTTTTTTTTAAAGGAATTTGCCCTAGAGAAATTGCATACAACCTGACAAAAGGTCTAATATCAAGGTCAAAATTAAAGTAAAATCAACAGCATTATTTCATTATGCACATTTTTGGACTTGTGATATCAAAAAAGGAAAGTAAAAGCAATTGGAAACTAAGTACCCTAGTCATAGGAAGAAGATGATGACAAGCATAAAGGAGGAACAAAAATAAGTAAAAATGTACTTCAAGCAGGAAGGAACAGATGGAAAAGCGGTATTGGTAGTATCAGAAAAACTGCAGGGCTTAGGGCCAAAACTAGGGCTTGAGAACCTAAGAATTTATATTACATAATCACTATAAGAACAAGAGCTCCTAAGTTCATTCATTAGTCAAACCCCTCAGGTTGTAACATTACCATACAACCAGCAGATTCTATCATGGTACAGTTGGATGCTTTTGGACAGTATGAATTTGACATGTTTTTAAGAGTGCAATTGTTAGCACATGTCAAATAATCAGGGATTTAACCCTATCAACTAAACTCATCGAAAATTAGCAGCAATAACTATTGTCAGCCGTATGATTGTACAACATGTTTTCAGCAAAAAGTACTGTATCAACATAATACTGGCAAGCAGATTCATGTCATGCCAAGGACAGTGAAGCACAGCCTTTATATTTGCCTGGCTAGTGCCAATGAGATTGGAGCCAGCTGAAGCATAATAACAAAACTAAAATCCATGACAGTATGAAGTTGGTAGATAATTTGATTATCAATTCCTAATATTACTGTGTTCAATATTTCCGACAATAATCTGTTAGATGCATTGGCACTACAAATATGTCCTATTGCTTGTAGAAGAGAACAACTTCTATTACAGGTCGTTTATGTAATTCCCAATTATTCTATGACAGATATATAGATCTTCCCTCCATTTAGTAATGTTAAGGGCATTGTTCTCAAGATTATCTAATTACAATCATAAAAAAACAGGCTACTTCAGTGCGAATTCTTAAAAATCCGTGTATCTAATTGTTCGATAGAAGAGAAAAAAGGCTAGTTACCTTTCACCAAGGAGTTCACATCCCCACCACACACAAAACAGTAAAAAAATAAACATGATAATAATAATTTTTGGCTAGGAACTATCAGCATAAAGATAGAACACTTTGCAGACAGAAGAAATGGTCCTTTAAGCTGTTTTGGAGATTAATAGGTTCAAAATTTTGCCAGATCTTAATATGCAAAAGGCAAACATCCAGGAATAAATTCTGAAAGAGTATCCTAGAAAGTTATAATTATATAATCAAACATACACAATATCTGAAAAATAAAGGCAATCAATAAAACCAATTTACAAAAAAATATACTTCAAAGTGAGACTTTAATGGGCAAACATACGGAATCCGAGCTTCGTCATCTGCTTTTCCAGGTGCTAAGTTTCTTACAAGAGGAGATAAATCCTTCTGAAAAAAATAAAAATAAAAACTCAAATGACAAAGTTGGAAAAGAACAAATTGTGTCATGATGATACAGCCCAAAAATCAGCACACAATTACATGATTTTGATAACATTACCTGGATGTCATCCATGCTGGCACCAGTATGGCTTGAGTTCAAGAAAATCTACAAAAAAATGGAATCAAGCACGAATAAAGATTTGAATGCTATCAACTCAATTAAACAATGCAAAGAAAGCTAGTTTCCATGCCCATCCTTAGTAAAGGTACCATAATTAGGCGAGCTGCTTTTGAACTTTCCACAATAAGCCACTGTCCTTCTTCTGAAGTAAACAACCATTCATGAGCTCGAGCCTAGAAATGAAGTTATGGTCATATATCTCAAGCAGAGAGCTAAAACATTTATTGGCAGATGAATTATCCTAACATTAGAAAGTAATTCACAAAACCGTCACAAATTAGTAGTTCAAGATCCTCGGGAATAAAGAGTTTAATATTTAAATACGAGAACAATAGCAGACAAATATTCTGATCTTTAGATAAAAGAAAATAACAGTTAAACACATGCTCACAATAGGAATTAAATCAAACTTCCTGATCACATCATTGTAGACTCTGTTAAGTGATAGCCTAGACTGACCAAGACATAAAACATTACATATCTGATCTCAGGATGGAAATGAAATCACAGTGCTTAGTCAAATCACCATATACTTAAGCAACGGCCTTGGCTAACAAATACAAAGATTCATAAAATACTATGTTCTGTCTGATCTAGCAACAAAACTCCTTCAGCCTCTGAAAGCTCATTACTTAGCATTCTTTTACTGTAACATTTGTTCATTAATATACAACATTGTCTTTAAAGTTTAAACAAAACCAAAATGTCTTTACCTTCTCTGCAGGCAGCTTTATTAGGTTCCTATTAATTTTAGAGACACTCCAAAATAGGTACAAAAACTAGATTATCATTTGACACCATTGGTTTTTCTGCAGTCTGAATAAACAAAATTGCAGTTCTAACTGAAGAAATAAATAGTACCAAAAATTCACCCACCTTTGGCACAATAAAGACACCACAATGGTATAAGAATGGTTCAGATAGTTGCTGAGAATCCAACAGTACAGCTTTGTAGTGAAAAAGTGAGCTTCCTTGTTCGCCGAGAATAGTCTGACACCTGCGTCCTGGGACAAGCTCATTTAAAGCACCTTTGGCACCTAGTTGTAGGTCTTTTAAGGAGTACACAATATCAGCACCGGCAGTATAGCCACTGCGAATTCTGTTCTCATTTTCAACTGCATTAAGTAAAGCATGCACCTGAAAAAAGAACTAAGAATTCAGTTGCTGTTTTTTTAACTTTCTAGTATATCTTAAGTCATATCATCTTAAGAAGAACAAAATATTTTCTTATACCTGCCCTCCTTTATGGTTTATGGAATGTTGGTCAAATAGTAACTTAATCAGGTTTGGTGCACCCAGCTTCTCCTTTACAGTAACTACCATGAAGGTTTGGAAGGTAGGTTTGCTACCAGGTTTTTGAGGGATGGCATGTATACTTGTCTCCCATCCGAATCGTAATTCAGTGAATAGCACATCTACAGAAGAAAGTAGAATTGTTTTCAGGTTAGTTTATGAAACTATCACAAAAAGAGCAAAAATGAAAAAATTCATGGATGTGAAGAAGACATAGAAATGCATTATTTATCGGACGGCAACCATCACAAGGTAGCTACCATGTAATTAAACAATTAATGAAGTTCGAACAACACTTTCAGTTAAGTTTGATTGACCTTACCCAAGACATGAGATTCTGCCAGAGTCAGACAGAGAAACTTTCCTCCTGATTTAAGCACTCTCTTCACCTAATGATCATGCAGCTCATGTTGTTAATAATGCTGTATGAAGATGCAGAGAATAACTTAAAAGCATGTGACAGATGGTAGAACAGATGCTAGCACATGTTACCTCCTTAAGATATTTAATTCCCAGCTTTGAACCATACTCGGGTTCCATTAGAGCATCTAATCCCCCTTTATCAAGAATGGCATCGAAGAAGTCATCTGCAAACTGGTTGTTATCAGTGTTAGCCAATATAAAGTCTAAAAATGACAAATGATAGAGGAAATCTTAAGAATTTTAGTGCACATTAGTTCATTAAAGACAACAATGGTAGAGAGTGAGAATTCATAACAGAAAAAATTATAACTGACAAAAGATGGAAAATAAGAAAAAACTATCTAAATATATAATTATCTTTCACATTAGAAATGAGAAACAACCCAAGAAACAAGTGAAACAAGAAATACCATTTGAAAAGTGTGTAGTGAGACACACTACATAATTATCTTTCATGTTAGAAATGAGAAACAACCAAAGAAACAAGAAATAATATTTGAAAGTGTGTACTGAGACACACTATCAACATCATGTCAACTATATGCATGGTGTTAGGCATCCATAATGTGGGTTACTAAGTGAAAGAGGGCATGTTAACTGTTAATTTTTTTATCAAGAATTAAAGCAAGGAATAGAAAGGCAAAGAGAGCACATACGAGATTCAGAGCAGATAGGTTACTACCTACGATGAAGAAAAGGGAAGAAAGAGAGGAGGGAGTAATGAGAAGACGAAAAAGGGAAAGAAGAGAAATGGCAAGAGGAGGCATACCTACTTGATGAGAGAGGAGGAGGCAGCCGGCAGCGGTGGAAGTGTTGAACAAAAGGGTTTAGGGTTATCTGCTAACGTTTCCAAGATTAAGGTTTTCAAGATCAACGTATAAAACATCATACTGACTAGACTTGCATTTGAGATGGTAAATTAATAATTTGATGGTACAACATCATATAGTTTTCACAAATGACAATAGTGAGCAACTGGAATTCTGGTAGGGTGCAATCGCGCAATGTTAGCTAAAAAGCATGGTACATAACATGGCCAAGATTGTCCGCAGAACCCTCATTTACCTGTAGTGATTGATTCAAGAGAAGATTAAATACAGACTATTCTCCAGTATAATTCATTGCAGAAATGGATAATGTATAACAATGTATCATGTTGCTTAACAGCAAATTGGATGGGGTTGAGGCAAACAACAAAGAAAAAATAGTGAATGGAACGACAGTTTAAATCTTGAGATTTGAAAAAGGGCAGGACACCTAATGCTCTGATAAAAAAAAAAATCTGTTAGGAATCAAACCTTAAATCCACGGTAAATAGACTAGAGACCACAATCTATGGCACTCCCAGCAAAGAGCACGAGTACCTGGAGGTCAGTCATGTCCATGACGCGCCACCGCATCTCAGGTTTGGACCGTACATAGCGGCGGAGCATGTCGGAGACAACGACCTTGGAGAAGTCAATGTTAGTTGTGCGCCGGAATCCGGCATCGTAGAGGTACTCCGACACACGGGAGCTCCCGCAACCCGGTACGAGAATCTGGAGGTCGGCGGCGCCATCGGAAGCGGAAGAGGACTGGAGCTGGGAGATGAGGGGGTCTCGGAGCTCCGGCCACTCCGCGTACCACTCGAAGGTGTCACCGGTGCCCCTGAGGGTGAAGAACTTGTCCCAATTCTCCTTGCTCGTGAAGTCTCCTAGGGTTTCGAAGATCTCTGAGTTTGCTTTCCCTTTCTTCCCCTCCATCTCGCTCTCTCTCTCTCTCTCTCCCGATGATCGGTTACCGAGAAGGGGAGAGGTTTGGGGTTTAGGTAGGTTTTGATGGGATCGCAAATGGTGTGGGTGGGTTGACGATGGCATTTTATTCACTCACCTTGGAATACAAAATTACAAAAAGACCCTCTAACATGAAACCCTCGACACGCCGTTCGTCGGAAATATATATACATAATCCGTCCTAACGATAAGCTGAATTAAATCCGGGCAAATTATCAGATTAACCCTTGGTTATACCTTCTTAGCATAGACTTCAAAAAATTATATTTTTTATAATTATAAAATAAAATATCTAAATTTATTTATCTAAAATTTACTAATATAAATATTAAAAAAATAAAATAAAAATAAAAAATAATTTTAATATTTAAATTGATGATACAATGGTGTCAGATAAAAATGTCACTAGGGGTCGTGGATGACTCTTGTAATTAAGAAAAGTGAAAAATAAGAATTGAGAGTTATTCTATATCTATGTCGATGCCAACATAATTATCGAATGATCCTTTCGTCGCTTTATATATGTGTTGAGTAGCCAAAGAATCGTTCGGTATTTATATTAATATCAACATAGATATAAAGTGATATTATTTGATAATTATATTAATACCAATGTAGAATTGTTGAATAGCCCTCATCTACAATAGTCATTCGAGGTTCTTAGTTATGTCGTCCATCATCACCAACGTTATCTGTCATCATCAATTTGAATGTTAATTTTTTTTATTTTTTTATATTTTTATTTTATAAAATGAATGATGTTAGGATAAATAAACTTATATTTATCACTTTTATAACTATAGATATTTTAATATAAAATTTTAAAATCTAAACCGAAATAGTAAGGTGATGGTAATATGTAATTAGCCCATTTGCGTCCAACGGGAATCCAGTTCCATTATGATATTATTACATATATGCCCCTCTAAATCAACGTGAACCTTTAGGATCAACGCAAAGATATCACTACTGCGTTATTTCACCCTTCAATCCCTAGAAATTTTTCTCGGTCGGAGGCTTGCCCTCTTGCCAACGTTTTGCTCGTCGGACACCCCCACACGCCTTTTTCGTTCGCCGCAAACAGTAGCTCTCCTTTGGTTCCACGCCTGCCTTCATCCCTTGGGGGTTTCTCGTGGCCCCTCGCATCTCTGCACGAGAAGTGCGATGTACGCGGATCAGATAGCGTCGGGACGTAAACGGTCCATCAAAGAGCGCCTGCACGGCGATCTCGGCGGGGACGTCGGCCGCTCTGGAGTGGTTGCGGCGAAAAGGTGCTTTCGTAACTTCTTAATTTCTTATCTGAGCTGCCACCGGCGTTCCTTTTTTCTGTTTGATATGCTGTTCGTCGATTGACGCTTTGGTTTTGCGGTAAGTAGGAAGCTTTTATGCTTAGGTTCGATTTCTTGCGTGGTAAAATAGTTGACTGGCTCGGCTCTAAGAGAAGTAGATTTTTTTATTTATCGTGGTTCTCTGCAAGGGCAAAAAGTTGTGGTCTTGATCGGATCGGAGTATTTTATAGGTTATAGACAGTGGAAAAGAGAATTTAATGTGACGAGCCTTCCATGAGATTTTGTTGTCACCTTACTGTTTTCTGCAGCATGAATAATATCTATCTTTGAGATCTTCTTTAGTAGGTGATCAGTTAGGAAGGTATTCTTGTGCGCGTGGTGTTCTTGTAATCAAACAGTTTATAGATACTTCAATTATTTTCTGAAATATTGTAGTTTTATGGGCGCAAGTTCGGTGCAGTGATTGTTTGACTGGAGATGATGCACCACATGAAGGCGAGTTAGAAGGGTAGGACTCAACTGAGTCCTCCCTTTTGATAGTCTTATTTCGTTGAGCCTTTTCGATGAGTAAATTTGTCAATCATTTTGTTGAGCTTTTTCGATAGTCTACTCCTTTGTAACCAAAGAGTTCACTGATATGTTGGAACTATTATTATAAGTTACCCTTTTTCTTCTTTAAATTGTGTTAATAAGCAAGTGGGAGAAGGGTTAAGGAGAGTCTTGCAGTTATTTTGAGGGAGGTAATTGGCCAGTGATAAAGTTCAGTTGGCAAGATGAAGATTGAATAGATCCGCATCTGATATTTCATGTTGGCTTTAGATGGTGATTCATGGGGACAAGAGGTATAATATGAAATACAAAAAAAATATTATAAGAAAAGTAAAATATGTGGAAGGGAGAAGATCATGATAAGCGAGATGAAAGTGAGAAGTAGGATGAATTTCATAAATAGGGAATAAAAGGGAGCAAAAGATCATGGAGGTAGAAGATTTTGGTAGGAAAGACCAGGTTAGACATAGGATGAAACTCTCAAGATATACACGAGGGGGATAAGGCAATACTTTATTTGCTTTCAAAGGGGCTTAAAGCTCTACTTCCCCGACCCCGCGCACCCCCACCCCCCCCCTCCCCCTCCATATGGTTGGTTGCTACCCCCTTTATAGAGGTTGCTTATGGAATCAAATCCAATCAGTTATAAAGCAAATATCCAACTTTGTTATACTTTGTTAAAGAGGTCATTTAGGGAACAGATAGTCACCTGATGATTTGAATTTGACTGGTCAAGATTCAAATCCAATGGGTTAGGAAATAATTTTAGTAAAGTTACATTTGGACCCTGATAGCCTTGACTCAAGAACATAAATATAACCAAAAACAAACTAAACTATTTCTAAGCATACTATACTTGATATTAGGACCATGGTTGTGTCAACAAGTTGATACTTGTCGTCCTTCTTGCATCTCTCTATGCCTGTGATGATCTTGCAATTTTTTATTTCCTTTGGTGTAGCCCCTTGATCTTCTGGATTTTAAAGGGAGATTTTGGATTGCTGTAGGGCACACAATATCTTTTATTGCACTGTCAAAGCTGCACTTGCAAGGTAAGAGTTGCAGTCTTAGTGAACTATAATAAGGCAATGGTTTGATGAGTCATCGAATGCATTGAATGAATAGGAGGCTTAGGGTTAACGTGGTGGTTTGTGGGTATGAGGAGTATAAACTTCTATTCTTATACTATTATCAAAGAACAAAATGAAACAGTATCTCCAAGTTGGGTCTTAACTCAGCTCCTTTCATGGTATAACAGGTAGATTTGCTTGAATGTGAATGGATTTTCTCTGTCTACCATCTTATTTCTATCCATCTATTCCATGTCAGCTTACATGATGTTTGGCTTATCGTATCGTAGTATTAATTGCTTTAAGTTGTTTAAACAATTAGATAAATTAACTAGCCTAGCTAGGTTTATGATTGCTGGGTATACGTGGACTGGTAAAGATTTTCCTTTTTTTTAACTTGTAATCATGCCTCATGGTATCTATTGGAGTGCAATATCAAGACTGTTCCTCTGTTTTTTTTTTTTTTTTTGTTATTAAGGTTAATATCACAAACCCTTGTAACACATTTCCACTTGTGTGTTATTGACCTAAAGAGAACTAGTTTAGCATCAAATTAAAAGTTGTTTTCAATGAAACAAAAGTGACTATTTCACAATAGTGTGGATAGTGCAATTTAACATGCAAATTTTAAATTTTGTACCTAATTTTAGTTATCAGTCCAATACTGATTTTGGTAACCTGATGGTCCAGTTTGGTATTTATATACTAGGCAATATACTGACCTGTACCACTTGATATGGTTGTTAAATATTAAAAAAATTAAATGAATGGTATCTTATTGTTATTGAGCTATATCTTTTGATACCCTTACTTGGTCAAATCGATAGATACTGGTCAGCGTGTAATTTGACTTGGTTGCTAGACAAATTGAGCATTTACGCCATTCTTGATGGCACAGTAGTCACATGATGGGTTAAATAACAACCCCAGTATGATTTTATAGTCGCCATGTATATGTAAATGGTGAACTACAACAAAATATAACTGATAAGTATGGTGAAGATAATAGACAATAGGAAGGAAGTATATGCGTGGCTAGAGTTTTCCCACCACTAGACCTGCATTGGTCTAGTGAAAAGGTTTCTCTCTTCCTCTCCTTAGTCAAATATAGACAGCAACTATTGTAGTGATCTGTTTTCTTTAGTATTGGTTTTGATTCCAACCAGCCAGATTTTCAAATCCAAATTCATTGAAACATTGTGAAAAGTTAAATGAAAACTGTAAATTGTGGATGTAAATAGTGCTAAAGTTGATCCACTTTCTATATACCTTATTCACATACTGGATGAATGAAACAGGACTTATATTTACACTATTTGCATTGAAACATTTTGATATATTTGTTTACATATATGATTGACGTTATGTGAGTTGGATGATTATCAGATTACTTTTATGATATGCAATCCAAATTTATGTGTGTTATGCTGGTACACTGTCAAACAGGATCAGGTTGAAGGTTAACCCTAAAACCCAACACAAATTTTCTAACCATATCCTAATTTAGTGTTGCCATAGGTTAGGATCTTCCAATCTTAACTGAACCCAACTCAGGTTTACGAGTCCTGTCCAGTTGGGCTAGGTCGGATATCAGTAGTCAAGCTACTTATACTACAATTAGTCTAGTTAATAGCTTTTGTAAAAGGATACTAGTAGTACTTGTGATAACATTTAGCATATGTTTCATGTACCCAACTTGGGCCAGGTCCAGAATTTTTACTCTTCAATTTGGATTCTGGTTGGTTTGGTTCAAATGTTCAATACAGATTCTTATTGGTGTCGGGTTAAGATATCTAAACTCATTCAGCCCAAGTTGGGCAGGTTCGGCTCAACCAGCCCAAGTCATAGCCCTACTGATAATTTTATTTCATTTTTTTGAATAAGAAAACACGTCCTTTTTATTCATGTGTAATGGACCTGCAATTCAGATTGTGTTGATGCAGTTCAAGCCTTTATATATAAAATGATCCTATGCTATTTGGCATAGTACTTCAAAATAATAAGTAAAGTGGTTTGATGTTTCATGGTGGTAGTGATTAGATACATTCAACTACTTGAATTCTATTTGGCATACTATTGAGCAACATGGTCGAATTTTGTGGATATGGTGATTAGATAAATTGGACTATTT